TGAGCCGCCGTGCTGGTGACGGAGCAGGGCTGCCCAGACGGAGCCACTGGCGCTCCCAGCCCCCTGCCTCTGAGGTGCTGGTTTCTGGGGTTGATTGGCGCCGTTCTGAAGATCGCTTTGCTATGCAAGAGAGATGTGACCTTCACCTTAGCCTTTAAAAAGTGCGAGTAGCTCCGACTCCTCGCTAATGGGGATGGTGGATGTCTCAGCTGTGCTCCCTGCCAGGGGGGCGGGTAGTTCTCTCCCATTTGATATCTTACCAAGCCTTGGTAACAGGTCAACAGCAAACCTCTCACCAGCTTCAGGAGGGTTTGGACTGTGCCCCAGCCTGCTCTGCTAACAAGATGTGACAAGCCGAAGTGAACAGTTAGACAGAAAGCATCAGGATTTCACAGCATATTTTGCCAGCAACTTATTGTTTTTTCAGCTGTTTTTCTCTTTGATTTTTTTTTTTCTGCTTGTGCTGTAGCAACTCAAATCTATCCCAGGCTGCTTCTGACATTAACAAGACAGTGGATGACAGGCAAAATGCGTCCACGAGCAATTCAGACTCTCCCCACTAAGTAATCATAAACACTGCAAGTTTGCAACAAAGCAAGCAGCTGTCTTTCTCCCTCTGGACAAGAACTGCTTCCTCACAAATTGAGGCTCTGCAGGTTTTACAGCTGTCGGACAATGAGTCTGGTGCCTGTTATTTCCTCCTCCTTTTTTTTTCCTTTTTCTTTTAATGGAAAATATCTCAGCACTGTCAGAACTCGAGTGGCCCCTTCCAACAGCGAATCAATACCGCCAAGTGATGAGGCTTTAACTTTCTGGCTGACACTACTGGACTGGGCACAGAGGGGTTGTGTTCCTGGGACATCCTCCCTTCCGAGGGTTTATTACCTTCGACCACGTTTCTTACAGGGTAGCAGATACTGATTTGGGGGCTGCGAGAGGATTCAACAGCACACAACGTCTGTCCCTGAGGTGGGGAGGGTGAACAGGCTGCGGAGGGGGGGCTGGACGTGGGGAGAGCCCTCAGTGGGGTGGTCACCCTGAGTATTGCAATTTTTTCCCAGAGCATATAGGGAGCCCCAAAAGAAATCTTTATCCCTGACCTAGATGTAGGCAATGAGAGGGAAGATTACTCTTTATTACTTCATTACTTTGGGAGAGAGTTGATCCTACCCTGGACTGACCGGTCAGGCTGCTTTAGCCATTTCAGATGGATTTTCTCTGTATTCTGAGGCAGGCTGCAGCGGCCCCCGCCTCTGCCCTGCTCCGGGCATGGTGCAGCCCGAGAAGTGCCGGTGCCATGCGGTGGATTCACCTCTCCCAGCCGGCAGCTATTGCCCCCTCAGCCGAGTGCTCAGTTCCTCCGGGGCACTTTTGGTGCCAGGTAAATCATGTTTGTTCCAACCCGTCCCAGAGGCGGCTGCAATGCTGCTCTGCCATCCTGCACTACCCGTTTCAACACTGCCACCTTCTTACCCTGACTCTTAACTATCTAGCACTATAAGTAAGCTTAATTTTACCTTGTTATGCTACAGCTATCTGTGCCCTCTGCACTGCCTCCGTCTGCCACCCTCCTCTGCAGTGAGTCTATCAGATAGCACATGTTGGATGAAATACATATATTCTTTCCATTTATGATTGAGTATAATAAAGTCTGACTCCTGTGCCTGCCAGGTGGCTTTTGGACATGCAGCATTTAGCGTGTGAAGTGATTGATCTCTGATCTTTAAAATAGAGCTGTGAAGACCACGGTGAATTTGCAATGCATGGGGAGTATAAAGGCAGGAAATAGCGGCTCCGCAACTCTCTCACCCCTGCCCTTTATTTCCTTGCGTTGAGTTTTCCATGCCTGACGATGCTCACCGTGGTGATTTATGTATAACCAGAGCAGCCTCCAGTGGTTGGATCTGTGAACTTTTCCCAGCAGCCCTTTATCTTCCCTCACTTGTGGGTTTTGCAGACCCCCAGCCCTGGTTCCTCCCTGCTCCAAGCTCAACATCAGAGATGGCGAGAGAGCTGGGAGCAGCAGGGGCCCAGGTTATTCTGCTGGGAGCCCATTCCATCCCTAATTGAGCTGAAAACAGCCGCTGCATCCTCGCTGCCGCGGGCCTGCTGCGCGCAGCAGTTTTTGACAATAGCTGAGAGATGGGGACGCGGTAGCCTGTGCCAGCATCTCCCCCCGTTCTAAGAGCAGCACCCCCCAGCAGGCAGCTCTGCCTCTCAGGGGCTATAGGAAACCTCTGCAGCGTTATCCGTAAGCTATCCAGGCCCTGTAGGTGCTCTTCCCCCACAGGACTGGAGGATGCCAGACCCGGCCTCTCCGTGTCATAATTTTTATCTGCCAAGGACTGGATGATCCTTCTCAGAGGGCTCAGGCATGGTGAGGTGATAATGCCCGCAGGGAAGCGAGGTTGCAGGACCCCTTTGTGTCCCATCCTGCTGCTGGATGCTTCCCAGAGGGAACAGCTTTGGGAGAATCGCTGCCAGGAGGAGAGAGAGGGTCTGGGGTTTGTCTTTTACGTTCTGTCCCTGTGCCTTAGTGATTAGTTCTCAGTGATTTTTTTTGCTCCTCAGGAGCCTTTAGGGCAAAACAGGTGAGAGACAGGACTCTGATGTGGGGAACTGAGCAGGACATATGTGAGAGTCATGACAAAGCCCAAACAGTGTTTGTGCCCCCACCCAACCTGCAGGCCAGTCCCCGTGCTCTGAGTGGCCTCTTGTCTTCAAGGACAGGAGCTTCAGAAGTGACGGACTGAGCCGATAAATCCTACCAGGGAGCAAGGAGCAACTGTCTCTGCTACAGCCCTGATGTTTATGGAAAACAAGGAGAGGAGGTGAGGCAAAGAGGTCTGGCTTCTGTCTAAGAAACTTCCCTTATAAAAAGATAGATTGCTGACACTTTTCCTTGATGCGGCTGCCCCAAGCATTTCAAAGCATCTGAGATTTCATTATCTAAGAAGCCGTCACTGGCTTTGTTGGGGACTTCTGGCTGCTTTACAAAGCAATTCCAGTATTATTATTGGAATAAAAACATAACAACTACTAATCCTCTGTTTAAATGACCAGTAAGTTCCCTGCAGGCAATGCTCTGCCAAAACATTTATCCACCTAATTTTATTTCATGTCAGGCTTTTTTTTAATTCAGATTTAACCTTTTGTGATGGGGGTTGTAGGCATTTCCTCTCAGAAGCACATTTTACAGACTGCTGGGGATGTAATTCCTTGGTGCAGGGGAGGGAGAGGGCCTCTGTTTGTCCACGTTAAAGGTGTCTCGCAGAGCTGTGAAAGCGCAAATTTCTTTTTGGGTCACTCAACACCTCGTTTTTTGGAGGAGTGCTGCCAGGCAGAAGTGAAAAGCTCAACCTTTTCTGCAGGGAAGTGGAACCAGACCCCTTCTTCAGGGTACAGGACAGGCTGGGAGCATCAGACAGCAGTGAAATGCTGTCAACAGAGTGAGGAGAGCAGAGCCAGCCCTCCTGTGGTCCAGCCCTCGCTCACGGCTGTGTCCCGGGAGTCTGGGCACGGAGGAGCAGGAGCATCCCACGGGGGAAGGGGATGAATCGGGTCTCTGGGTGCTGCTTCCCATGAGTTGCACAGGAGCCCAAGGGTGGGAGCAGCGACCGCTCCTCACTGCTCGGGAGCAGAGGCAGTGGAGCAGAGCTTTTCTTGAGGGCCGGAGGATCTGGAGGCCGTGCCAGGAGCGGGGGGAGTCTGCTCCCGGCCAGCCCGCGGGGCTGTAGCTGATGGCTCTGCCTCTGTGCCTGCAGCTGGTGGCAATGTCACCTCTGCAGCCCCAGCATGTGGGGCCAGTCAGGGCTGGGCACAGTCGCCCTGGGGGTGCTGGCCCAGCAGAGCCCTTTGGGATGGAGCCCCCGTTCCTGAGGATCGGGTGAGAGTAGCTGGCAGGAGGGTTTACGGGGCCTGCCTGGATCTGCAGCACTGTGTTAGTCTGGCGTGTGGGTCTCCTGGGACTTGTCAGCACCAGGTGAATATTTCTGCAGGTGCAAAGGAACTGGAACAAAGTCCCTCATCCCTGGTCCCCAGCTCCCACAGCAGCCAGCGGTTACTGCCTGGGGAAAGCAGTCCCGAGCCAGGTATATCCCAGATGCCATCCTGAGCATATCCTGAGCGTATCCTGAGCGTATCCTGAGTGTATCCTGAGTGTATCCTGAGCGTATCCTCCAGCTTCCAAGGCTGAAGCTGTATCCAGAACTTTGTGGGGATTTGCAACCCAGGTGTGTCCGAAGTCTTTCTGATCCCACGTATGTACCCCCAGTACAGCTCCTGACAACCCTGTCATTCAGCTGTGCACGCTGCGGGGAAAAAAAACAGGCTCCTGACACCCTGACGGGTGTGTGCAGCACTCCTGGGACCCGTGCTGTCCGTGAGGGATGCTGGAAAAGCCCAGGTCAAGCTCATCGTGTGCACATACCATGGTGCCGGTGGGGCAGGACGAGTACCCTGAGTTCATCCCTGAAGCTCCTGAGATTGTGTCCTGGGATAAACACAATTTCAGCTCAAAACAAAGCAGGAAATTTTCCTGGGTTTTAATCAAATGGGAATGGGGGAGGGAATGCCATAAATCTTCCTAGGATGTGTCTTTTGGCCTGGAACAGCATGTTTTGATTCTTCCTCAGGTTGTTTTTCCCACCACACTCCTACTTTCTGATTTGAGTAAAACTTTTAAATTGAAAGCCAGCACTTCAAAGGGAAAAGGAGAATATTCTGCTGGAAAATGTTTAACTGAAATATTGCAGCACTTCTGAAATGAATGGTGTCATTTAGAAAATGTCAAAACAAAAAGCTTCAATCTTTTGAGTTTCCTCTTTTTTTTTTTCTTTTTTTTTTTTTCTCCCGGAAAAAAAGTATTCCCAGACTTTCACATGAATTTGTAAATAAGTCTGTCATATCACCACATACACGTGTCCCCCCCAGGATTATTTTCTTAGCACGTGAAGAAAATGTCACCAAGCCTTGGTTCTGCCAAAGCAACCCTAGCGAGGGGGGAGGACAAGGTCAACGGTAAAAAAGAAAATGAAGACACGTCCTCTAGAGACAGCTACAGATTTATGGTATGGGCAATCATGTCATCAGCACCACTTTATCAGCTTCTGCTGCTCTCCTTCTCTGCGCGCCTTTGGCTTTTGGTTTGCCGGAGGAGGAGTGAGAGAAAAGCTGGCAGGGGAATTTTGATCTGTTATTGTTGCTGTTGTTTTTGTCTGCGTAGTAAATGGGCTCTTGTGTGTACGTCTGTGCGCGCCTGCATGCCATCGCTGCGTTTGTGCCTGTCTCCCTCGTTCCTCCCTTCCCCATCCATGCACAGCACGATATAAACAAACCTGCCTCTGGACATGTCATGGCTTAAAATAGATGTTCATACATCAGCCTTTCCACAGCAGCGGCGGCAGCAGCAGGAAGACATGGCCGACTGGATCTGACTACAACACTCACTTTGAGCTGAGAAATCACAGCCCTCGCAAAGGTAGAGTAACGGGGTGGGCGTCTCCTTCCTCCTGCGGGTCTGTCTGTCTGTCTGTGCGGAGTGTGCGAGGCTGAGCAGCCTGCGCCCGGCAGTGATGCCTCCCCAGTGCCGGCTCTGCTCCTGCCCCCCCTGCCAGCGTGGCAGGACGGGCAGAGGGGCTCCGCAGGCAGCCACGAGCGCGCTCGGGGGAGCGGGCTCCGAGCCCCCCCTGCGCTTGGCTGCCAAAAAGGGGGGGTACAGCTGACACCTGTGAGGGGTTTGGGTGCCGGGAGCACTTTGGGGTCTGTTCTGAGGTCCTGGGGCAGTTCCTCTTCCCCTGCAGCGCTTTGGGGGGGCTGGCACGGCCGTGTCTTGGGGGTGGGATGCTGGATGCCAGCTTTGGGCCTGAGGCTTCCAGAGCTACATCCCGGGATCGGGGCGGATCGCTGTTTTTCCAGCCAGCTGTAGCAGGAAGAGGGTCTGCTGTTTGGCTAGTTACAGCCTTACACTGATGATTCAGTTGCTTTTTTCAGACCCTTCTGCTATTTGGTTCCTAATGCTGCCCGGGGCGGGTGGCATGTGGCCGTGCCGCAGCCAAGGTCACACAAGGTTTAAGGGCCCCGGCACGTGGCCATGCTGAAGGCCTTTTCCAGGGGGGTTTTGCCAAGTCCCAACTCCCAGCGTGAAGGAGCCCAGAACTCACCAGGGCAGGGGAGACGTGTCGGGGGGAGACCTGGCCTGTACCCCGTGCTGGAGGTGGGCAGCACGGGCAGGGTCTGAACTGCCGCCCTGGAACGGGACCCCCGTGAGTCTCTGGGCTCCCTCTGAGCTCCCCCCTGCCCTTGCAACGTTTTCCTCCTCTGCACGTTGCCAAGAAATGGCTGGAGGCTTCTTCCTTCTGCACCGTTGGCTGCTGGCCGGCACCTTAGGCAAAATGTTGGAGCAGACAGACACGTGCTGTCCCAACCAGGCTGGGCCAAGGTCGCTGAGTTTCCTCCCCCGAATCCCAGTGACAACTGGGGAGGACTGGGCAGCTGCTGGGAGGGCTGTGACGGGATGTGCTCTGGACACCTTCCAGTGCAGCTCAGGGCAGCAGCAGTGATGGCGGGAGAGGGAATTTTATTCTCGCGTGTGGGGGGGGTCTGTCAGTGGGGCAGCAGCAGATAAAGGCAGCTGTGAGGAACATCTGGCTGCAGGGACTAACTGCTCCGGGCGGGTCAGGCTGTCCGGGGAGGTTTCCTGCAGATGTGTGACGAGTATCGGTGCGATCTAGAGGTTTGAGAGCAGAGCTGTGTCCCAGAGGATCTGCTCTGTGAAATGAGCTTTCTCATCCTCTGACATTAACTCTTCCCACCCCAAACCAGGCCAAGATGTTCAAATGCAGCGGCAGGGCTGCTGTACTTGGAGGGGTTAACCCTGCCTCTCCCTCCCCGCAGGCTGTTGTGTGCCTGGCCCATCGGAGTCTGAGGCTGGGTCCCGGCCAGACGCTGTGTGGTGCCATATGGAATCCTCCACCTGTTTGGGGGTTTTTCCTCCCCAATCCTGGTGGTTTGCCCAGACCTGGACGGCTTTCATCGCTTCTGATAGCAGGTTGGCAGCATCAGTCCTCAAGCTGGCATTGTCCCGCTGGCAGGCAAAGCCCCCGAGCCAGCGCAGAAGGAAGGTGGTCCTGTGTTGAACATCTCTTGCCAATGTGGCCTCAACCCAAAGTCGTGGGGCTGGAGCAAAACCTCAGCCTGTGGAGACTCAGCAATCTGGCTGCCTCTGGCTCCCCTCGCCAGCCCTGGCAGCATAAACTCCTCCCCAGCAGCGCTGCTTCTTGGAAGGGAGCGTAGGTGATGCTCTGTCTCACGCTGGGAGCCTCTGGGTAGCTGACTTGACACAGCCCTTTCATCGGGAAGGTGAAAATTGGCTGCTTTGGGCCAGTATTTCTACGAAAGGGATGGAGAGGTCCCCAGTTTGTGTAACAGCATCTCCCCTGATTCCCTGACAGGACCGTGGGTGGCAGCAGCAGCAGAAGCGACCTCCAGGCCGCTCTCCGGCCTTCACGACCCCACAGGTATGCCTTGTGGGTCTCGGCAGCTCCAATGGCTTTCCTGTCCAGGTTCTCCAGGAATGGCACCAGGTCACCGAGCCGGAGCTCACGGGATGAGCGCAGCAACCACCCCATCCTCAGTGTCTTCGAGCTTGAAAGGTTGCTGTACACGGGCAAGACGGCCTGTAATCACGCGGATGAGGTCTGGCCAGGCCTCTACCTGGGCGATCAGTATGTATTGGAGGGGGATGCGAACTGGGGGGGTTTGGGGCTGGTTTTGTGAAATGGGGGAAATCTGGGAGGGGGAGGTTGGGAAATGGGAGGGAGAGGAGGACACGATGGGCGCGGTAGAGGGGCAGGCGGAGGTGGAGTGTCCGTGCAGTCAGGGAATGTGGGATTGGCTTAAAATTCAAGAATCTTCAGACTGTGGCATTTTTCCTTTGGATTTCAGGCATAAATGTCCAGGACAGCCCTCGCGCCGTCCTTGGAAACTTTTCTTTTAACTGGTCTAAACTTCTGCCTCTCCGCACCGTTATTCTCCGCAGAGATATAGCGGCCAACCGGCGCGAGCTGGCCCACCTGCGCATCACCCACATCCTCAACGCCTCGCACAGCAAGTGGCGGGGGGGTGCTGAGTACTACGAGGGCACGGGCATCCGCTACCTGGGCATCGAGGCCCATGACTCGCCTTCCTTTGACATGAGCCCCTACTTTTATCCTGCAGCTGACTTCATCCACCAAGCGCTGAACGAAGGTCGGTGGTAAAGATTTCTGGGAGGGAAGTGGGGAGAAGTGGGGAGAAGTGGGGAGGAGGGGGAAAAGAAACTACCCCGGGCAGGTGGGACTCGAGAGTGACGTCCTATTGGTAAGAATCCTAGAAAACAGCAGTATTTTCAGCCTGGGCCGGTGGCTCCTGAAGGGGATCTCCTCCTCCAAAGAGGGAAGGGGCTGGATGAGAGCACTGGCCCCCCTTGGCTGCAGCCCGGCCTGTCCTGAGCTGTGGCTGGTCCCAGTCTGGTTTGGGAGATCAGGACACACCGACAGCCTTTGCCAAGAGGGACTCCTGGGGCATCACAGCACCCCGCTCCTGCGCCCCAGCCCCCGGACACACCACGGGAAGCAGCTCAGTGTGTTTTTAGTTTGGACGTTTGGTCTGCGGTGACACGGCCCCTGTTCCACCCCCAGGAAGGATCCTGGTGCACTGCGCTGTCGGGGTGAGCAGGTCGGCCACCTTGGTCCTCGCCTACCTCATGATCCGCCACCACATGCCCCTTGTAGAAGCCATAAAGACGGTCAAGGACCACCGAGGCATCATCCCCAACCGGGGATTCTTGCGCCAGCTGGTTGCCCTGGACAATGCCCTGAGGCTGAAGAGGAGTGCCTGATGGAGGGTGCAAGGGGGGAGCGCTGGGAGCGGTGGGTTACGTGCAGCTGGTCCCTGGGCCTCCGCCTCGGCTAAGGAGGGTCCCCAGCCACACGAGCTGTTCCCAGCGGTAAAGCACAGACCCCCCCCACCTGCAGTCTTACCACCCAGCTAGGCCCAAGGTCCAGCCTCCCGCCCAGCCTGCTCGTGCCCAGCCTCAGCTCCGCCTTACAGGTTACTCCATCCCTCTTGGCTCCGGGAAGCCTCTGAGGCTGCGTTCTCTCACGTGGCAGAGGCATCCCCCGAACCAGCCCCATTGCTCCCTCCCAGGAGACCGAGGCTCTGTGTCTTTCCTCCTTCCCATTCGTTTTCGGTCTGTGTAGCAACGTGAATTAGGTCTGGCGCGTGGGTTCAGGCAAACGGGCTTTTTGTCGTCGTGTTTGGGTGTCCTCCATGCCTAGTGTTAACCTGTCAAAATAAAAACAGCGCTAAGGAAAATGTCTGGCCACCCCTTGTGTGCTTTAGGACAGGCTTTATGTGTTTGGGCTGGCATATGGCCCCTGAGGGGCTGAGATGGACCCGAGTCCTCCCAGAGCCCCGCTTTGGGGGCTGAACCTGCCAGACCCCACTGGTGGGTGCCCGGGGCCTGTGCGGGGCCTCCCCACTCGTTTTTTCGCGGCGACGGGGACAGAAAAGGGGGCCGCTGGTGGCCAGCAGAGCGGGGCAGGCAGCCACCGGGGTCACCATCCATCACGAGGGCGTGATGTCGGTCTCACATCCCGCGCACCCGGTAGCCACCCGGGCTAGCGGAGGGGCCAGCTGCATCCCTCCTGGGCTGGGGACGCTGCTTTTACCATGCTCCTCGCCGCCGCAAAGCCCCCA